TATTCCCTTCATAACTCCTTTAATGATTTATGATTGTAACAACATACTGTACTGCCTTATTATAAGTAATATTAATGTTTACTACTGTCCTAGTCATTATCATCAAATAATGATTACTATCATTATGATGCCTTAATTAAAGAGTCCAGGAATGGAGGGTTGTTGTTTTTTAATAACAATGCCAAGTAAAACAAACAACAAAACCAAATTACTATTTTGATAACTTATATTAAATATACTGAACTTTGTTTTATTTTAATTAATTTTACTTTAATATTTAGTATATATTTAATACTTAATTATATTTAAATATATAAGTATACATATATTTAAGACTTTAAATATAAATATATTAAATAATAAACATATTAATCATTAATTAAATCAACTTATTGAACACTCACTATATTCCAAGGCAATATTTAATTGTAGAGACAAAGATATTTAAGAAATTGTCCTAATCTTTGAGGTAATCTAACAGATTATAAAACATATTTATAAACACTAAAATATAATATAATGAAGGCAGTGTAAGTATGTGCTTTAGGAAGTAATAAAAAACACTGGTAAAAATAACTACGTAGGTAAATATAAAAGCCAATATTATCATACTTTTCGTTTGTAACTGGTTTTTTTCATGTGATTTAAAAGGCAAATGCATAAAACAATAACTGTAAATTATGTTAATGGCACACAATGTATATATAAAGATGTAATCTATGACAATAACAATATAAAAAGGGAGAGACAGAGATTAACTCCAAGGTAACACTAAGAAAATAACTGAAAAATATACACAAAAGGAAAGAAGGGAATCAACATAGTACATAGCAAAAAACAGCTAAACACAAAAAAGGCAATAATGAGTGAACTGAGGAACAAAAAGCACATAAGACATGCAGAAAACAAATAGTTAAATGGTAAAACAAGCCCTTCCTTATCAGTAATTACTTTAAACGTAAATGGATTAAACTCTCCAACAGAAAGGCAGATATTGGCAGAATAAATTAAAAAACATGATCCAGGACTTCCCTGGTGGCGCGGTGGTTACGGATCTGCCTGCCAATGCAGGGGACGTGGGTTCGAGCCCTGGTCTGGGAAGATCCCACATGCCGTGGAGCAACTAAGCCCATGTGCCACACCTACTGAGCCTGCGCTCTAGAGCCCACGAGCCACAACTACTGAGCCTGCATGCCAAAACTACTGAAGCCCACACACCTAGAGCCCGTGCTCCGCAGCAAGAGAAGCCATCACAATGAGATGCCCGCGCACCGCAACGATGAGTAGTCCCTGCTCGATTCAACTAGAGAAAGCCCACGAGCAGCACCAAAGACCCAACGCAGCCAAAAATAAATTAATTAATTAAAAAAAAAAAACATGATCCAACTATATGATGTCTACAAGAGACTCATTTTAGATATAAGGAAGTTAGACTCATTTTACAACATATACAAAACTTTACTCAAAATGGATCAAATACTTAAATTTAAGAGCAAAAACTATGAAACTCTTTGACAAAAAACATTAGGGGCAAATCTGCATGACCATGGATTTGGCAATGTTTTCCTAAATATAACACCAAAAACACAGGCAACAACAACAAAAAATGAAGTGAGCTTTATTAAAATTTCAAACTTTGTATTTCTTTTATATCTTATAGAAGTGTACTATTATTTTCAATAACTTGTTTGATCATTTATAAATTTTGAGAAATACATAATGGTGCTCTGAGTTATTTCATATACTCAGATATTTCAGGTACTATTATATTCTGGTCATTTCCAGAAGATAAAAGTCCTTAATTATTATAAAAATTGCATATCTATACTCTTAAAGCTTATAAACATCAGTCTTTTGAATGAATGCTTTATAAATATCCTTTAGTTATTAAAAAAAAAAGGCCAGGACTCCTTTTTGGAGTCCTTATTCTAAGCCCTTTGCCATGTGTGGTGGAAAATACCCCCTTCCCCCAACCCTGCCACTGCTGTTGACTTTGGGCTTGGGCATATGACATACTTTGGGCAATATGTTAGTAGATGTGACATAAACAGGTATTTGAAAAGTGCTTACACAGTCAAGCCTGCTCTCTTGTACCCTGCCATTGCAATAACATGCTTTGGCTGGTCTGTTGGTCCACAAAGGATGAGATCCATCAGCACAGCTGATCCAGTTGAGTGCAACCTATGTTGGTCAAACCATAGCAGGGTGACTGAGCCCAGCTGAAATCATCTGTTGCCCACCCCACCCTCATAGATGCTGACCCACAGTAAATGACTGGTATTTTAAGCCACTGAGTTTTAGAATTGTTTGTTAGACAGGAAGAAGTGATCCAGACATATGCAACAAGAAATACACTTCCAAGTCTTTCCAATAATGACTTTTCCTCTTTTTCTGTCTGTCCCTTGATCCTGCAGCTCAGACTACTCTTGGGTCCACCCTACTTGTCCCTTTTAGGAACCACTAGGGAAACTCCTTTAGAATCACCCTCTTCTCCTCCCTATGCAGACCTCATTGAAGCTTCTGTTATTTTGCTATTTTATACAACTGGAGCCATTGGAATTCAAATAAGCACAACTACGACAAGTAGGACCATTACTGAGGGATGTCAGAGCAGGTCACCGGTATCTTGTTTTTTAAACAACAGACTGAGATGTTGCCTGGGAAGAACTTATCCTGAGGAAAGAAAGCATTAAGAAATCCAAGATTGGTGCAATAACAACACCCAGAATCACAGCTGTTGGGAATGACAGTAGAGAAAACAGAAGGTAAATGTAATTTTTTTTTCCTTCACAAGTAACACTTTATTTAATTTTAAGGATTTTTCGAAGAATAACATAATAAACACTTGTGTTCTCCCCATATTTTCTTTAAGCTTGTTTTTTAGTAAGACAGCTATTATAGGAAAAGCTAAAGCCCTTTTGATAACTACCCCCAATATCATTCCTTTCTCTTCTCAATCACAATCACTATTATGAGTTTGATGTGAATTCTTTCAGGATTTGTTACTTTGTGAGTGTAATATTTAGTACAACCTAGTTATTAGCCATAAAGCTCCTTTTCCAGCTCTCAAGGACTCATACATAGGTCCAAGAATGAAATAAGATACAAGCAAAAGTTGAAAGAGCTAGTTTTAGGGGGAAAAATTTATATTTAAGATGTGGGAAGAATGCGTAGTAGAAAGTGTGGGAAAGAGATTCTCTCCACTTAAACAAAGCAGCGTTAGTGCAGTAATATAGGGCCAAGGTAAAATGATAAGACATCAAAAAAAGACAGTACCACTGCCGACAGCAGTACAATCAGCAGAACTCAGCTTCAGTGGAATGAGCACTAATACTATTGATGGTGAACACAACAGTTTTCTTGAGTGGATGTCTACTGTTTCATCAGTAGTAGTAGTCAGAGGCAGCATTAGCCACTTTAGAATAGGAGCCCTGGGAATGGTCATCAGCACTCTCAGTGGTAGCACTGGTGGCTGGAGAAAGGCAGTAGAAGGCACCAAAGTACTGTAGGCTGAAAGGATTAAATACCTCCTGAGGACTTTCAGAAATTTTGACAAGGTCCAGAGGTCAGGGAAGAGTAGAAGCTAATTAGAGAAATATTATTACTGTTACTACTATATAATTTACAGTGTGTAGTAAAATATTATCAATAAAGAAGATAACTGCCTAGGGAAAAAATTCTTGTTTTAGTATGAGATCCTAACAGGTTGTATCCTGGGAGGGATATGGATTATACTCATCGGAGTCAGCTCAGTGGCCAGAAAACCTCAAGTCTTGGTCTCAGGTTGCTAGCAACTTCAAATTCCTGTAGGAAGTAAAAGAAAATCCTCCCCGATAAAGATAACATCACCTTAGGCTTCAAATTATTACTACAAATAATTTTTCAAGTATGTTTAGCAAACAATTAGTGATAATGAAGCAAAACTCCTGTTTCTAACCAAGGTAGAATACCTGGTTTAGGAATATCCCTCCCATTGTAAGTAACTGTAAAACTGGACAAAACAGATAAAGCAACTGCTTTTAGGGAGTAGACACCAGGCAGCCTAAAACTGTAATCTCAGAGATAAAATAATCTCATAAGATCCATTAGGTGAACTCTATGATTCTCAGCTCTCTTCCTAGGTATAATTTTCCGACAGTAGCACAGAGCACTGAAGTACAAGCAGAGTATGGTGTTTCTGCCGAGCTGAAATGGAAAATATCAGAACTTGAAACAGCGAAAATCACTAAAATCTGCAGGGCAAGGCATGGCATTGGAGAGAAGGGATAGAGATAGATAGAGAAAGGGCCCTAGAATTCCCCGGGGGCTCCCTGTCAGTCTGCGACTAAGAGTTTGATAAAACACAAATTGCTGGGCTCTACCTCCAAAGCTTCTGATTCAGTAGGTCTCGATGGAGCCTGGAAATATCTATTTCTATTAAGTTCCCAGATAATAGTGATGCTCCCGACCCAGGACCACACTTTGAAAATCACTCTTACTAAGCAGAAGACAGGGTAAGTTAAAAATAAAATAAACCCGTATCTCCTAAACCTTTCTCACTCATTCTGAGTCACTAGAGCATTAAAATAAAATGTCTGGGGCTTCCCTGGTGGCGCAGTGGTTGAGAATCCGCCTGCTAGTGCAGGGGACATGGGTTTGAGCCCTGTCCAGGAAGATCCCACATGCCGCGGAGCAACTAAGCCCGTGTGCCACAACTACTGAGCCTGTACTCTAGAGCCTGTGCGCTTAGAGCCTGTGCTCTGCAACAAAGCCTGTGCTCTGCAACAAGAGAAGCCACCGCAATGAGAAGCCCGTGCAGCGCAATGAAGAGTAACCCCTGCTCGCCACAACCAGAGAAAAGCCTGTGTGCAGCAACCAAGACCCAATGCAGCCAAAAATAAATTAATTAATTAAAAAATAATATAAAATGCCTGAGGATACAAGAAAAATGTCTAATTAACCTTACACAAAATCAACAATTTCTGTGATAAATAAAACTTCTTAAGGCTTTGCTGGCCTACCTGTAGATCTTTCACATTTGGAAAAGGAATTCCTATTGTTATGACAGCACGGGCGTTGTCATCTGAGAAATCCAGACCCTCACTCACTTTACCACGACAAACTGCCACCAGGAGGGCGCCATCTTAAGCAACAAAAATCAACATTTTTATAAGCACACTCAAAATTCCCAGAAATTCTTATTCTTGTCGTTTTGAAAAGATCTGATTATTAAGTAATTATAATACCAAATTTTAAAGAAACAAAATTTAAAACTATTATAAAGTTTTTAAAATTCAATGTCTTCAAATAAATAAAAGAAACAAAATTACATTTAGGTGCAACATGGTAGAACCAACTTATAAACTGTGTATCTCCCAGTTAAACTATACAGAAAAACCATGTCAGAGTAGTAACTTGCATGTGAGCTGAGCAACTGTGAACCAACTGTTTTAACTTTAAAATACTGAATTGAAATCACTGTCTTTACCACCAGAATGTAAAGTTATCAGAATGATTTAAATAACTCTAATATTTACTATATATCATATTGAATCAATATTATATTGAAAAGTATTTAAAACACACATACACAGAATACTCTGTGTATAAACTTACCATACAAGGATATTGACAATTATGTTATAATATCTTTATGATGTTGCACTGTTCATAAATTACTATTAGCCCTTCTTGTCAAACTTTTTATGGGCATTCTCTAACTTTGAAATTTAGCCTTCAGTTATGTTTTGAAAACTCAAGTTTACCTTATGTAATAAAATATAAGCACAAAGTATATTTTTTACATAAAAATGTAGAGCTCATTTGGCTAGTAAGGAAGATATTAATGCATACTCTACCTACCTTCTTTAACAAAACATTTTAGTTAGCGTAAGGAAGTCTATGGGATAATACCTGAACGCATGCCATTTCATAAAACTGAACTGTCATCTTCAAGTGAAAATATTCATAGGAGAACAACTCCAAATAAAAGAATTTCTTTAACCTATGTTCTTTTCACTTAGGATTATAAAATATAATTTTTCTCAAGTGCAATTCATTTAAAAAAGATAACACAAATAAAATTCTAACAGCACCAACTTTTCACTTTATGGGAAAAATTTTTTTTCACTGACCATCAAATAATTTCCAATTACCTTTTTCTCCTTTGTACTTGATCGCATCATAGTACATCTGCAGTAATTCATCAAAATCAGTTTTTTCTCCTCTCTGTGGTTCTACAATGACTGTCTTCACCAACTCCAGATTATGCCATACACCAGTGGAGAGCCAACGTTCTTTTAACTTTTCTAGTAACTGGAAAGGGGAAAGAAAAAAAATGTTTTGTGTGTGTGTCCAACTGAACTTACATTTATTTGTTGAAAGACCATGTGACTACAATGGCAAGAGTATTAACCTTTCTGTGTTTGACTCCATAAAAAGAGGAAAACAATTATATGTCATAGAGTTGTTATTGGGTAAATTCATTAACTGATATAGAAAGCTTTGAATGATGTCTGGCACCCAGTAAGAGCTCCACAGATGTTAGCTGTTGTGGCTGCTGTTACCATTACTATTACTACTAACATTACTGCTGCTACTGCTACTGCTTCTATCATTGCTATCTTAGGGATTTCAAAAGCAGGAAAAAATTACTTCTGTCAAAATTCATAAATTTTAAGTTATCTCTAAATCTAAGGTGAAGTTCTTAATATCTTTAACTAAAGATACTTTAAATGAAGATTCTTTAAGATCATTCTACCTAGTCTATAGGCAGCTATGCTGTTTTAAAATTTGATCATCATTAATAAACTGAATTGAGTAAATATATAAACAGAGATTCAGGTAGCCAACAAGTAGAAAATATAAAGGCACAAATGGAACATTTACAAAAATAAACGTGCTAGATTACAAAAGGACTTTCAACAAATTTCAAAGAATCCTTATCAGATTAACCACATATCCTAACAACAATGCAATTTTAGATTAAAAGTCAATAATATTAAGTTAGTGGGAAAAAACAAACATACAAGCCCGACACTAAAGATTGTATTCTGAAAGAGCATATGTGTTATATGTCAATTATATTTCAATAAAACTGGAAGAAAAAGAAAATAAATAACAACAAAAAAGAACATATGGTTTAAAATTTATTTTATTTTTTTGGCTGCACCACACAGCATGCAGGATCTTAGTTCCTCAACAAGGGATCGAACCTGTGCCCCCTGCAGTGGAAGCACAAAGTCCCAACCACTGGACCGCCGGGGAATTCCCAAGAACATATGGTTTAGAGAGGAAAACACAATAAAATTCATGACATCTTTAGATATGAATGATAAAAAAGCACCCATAATTCGAAACATGTGGGATGAGGTAAAGGCAATACTTAGAAATATGCTTATAACTTGAAATGTATTTAAAAAATTTAAAACTATTGGAATTAAGCATTCTTTTTAAGAAGCTAGAAAATTAAACAGAAAATGCAAAGAAAGCAAAAGTTAATAAATATAAGAGCTGAAATAAATTAAAAAAGACAAAAGCCAGTAGTAGAGATTATTATGATTTAAACTGAACTGCTTTACCTACTTGTTTTATGCAGAATTCTATGCAATATGGACCAATTATTACAATACAGGCAAGCACCAAGAAATTACTGCAAATTCTCTAGAGAAAAAAACTAATTTTTATAAGATGGTTTATTTCCTCAGAATTTTACCTTATCTATTTTCAGAAATAATCTTAATAAGATTATAAAACAAATTTTTTTAAAAATCACTGCTATGGTCTAAATGTTGGTGGTCCTCCAAAATCTTTTTTTTTTTGCGGTACGCCGGCCTCTCACTGTTGTGGCCTCTCCCGTTGCGGAGCACAGGCTCCGGACGCACAGGCTCAGCGGCCATGGCTCACGGGCCCAGTCGCTCCGCGGCATGTGGGATCTTCCCGGACCGGGGCACGAACCCGCGTCCCCTGCATCGGCAGGCGGACTCTCAACCACTGCGCCACCAGGGAAGCCCCAAAATCATTTTTTGAAATCCTAATCCCCAAAGATGAAGGTATTAGGAAGTGGGGTCTTTAAAGGTGATTAGGTCATGAGGGCGGAACTTTCACAAATGGAATTAGTACTCTTATAAAAAAGATCCCACAGAGCTCCCTTGCCCCTTCCACCACAGGAGGACACAGCAAGAAGCCACTGGCTTCTGACAGGAAGAGGGCTCTCACCCAACCATGCTGGCACCCTAATCTCGGACTTCCAGCCTCCAGAGCTGTGAGAGATAAGTTTCCGTTGTTTACATGCTACCAAGTCTGTGGTATTTTGTTATAGCAGCCAGAACACACTAATCACTAAGAAAATCACTAATTGGTAAAATAGTTCACTGCATATTATACATCGAGTGCCTCAACATTGGCTATTAGAATTTGCTTTTTGAATATGCACTTTCTGAATCAAAGTTTCTAACCATGCAAATTCTTAGTCTGTTCTGGCTGCTGTAATTCAGTTAGAAGAGTGTAAAAATATCCCAAGGATGTAAAACCAGATGAAGTGTGTCATGAATTTGCATAATTGTTGATTCTTAGTAGAATGAAATTCAATGGTGGTATACCTTTTTCTGAAAACACAGATAATATTTCAACTCTTTTTCCTTGAGTCTGAGATAACAGCAATTTCAATGTTTTGAACATTCAAGATCTGGAGAAGTACCTAACATTTTACTTAAGGAAGACCATTAAGTTGATGATTCCAAAATATAGTCCATTTTAATAGACTAACATCTATTTAAGAAGGGAAACCTGAGAAATAAGAAAGAAACTGGTTCAATGCACAAAATTCCCCCCAAAGAAATCCAGTAGGGAATTCTTCCCCATTATACAGAACAGAATTCAGAATATCAAAGAGTTATACATGCTTTAGAAAACGTCTAACTTTGTGTTCACAAAAGCTTAGAAAATTTTAAAGCAAGAATGATATATGCAATATTTCAAAATTTGTTACAAGAAAAGACATTTTATCCACTGATTTTGGATTCTAAGAACTTCAGAAATTTATGGACAATGAAAATGGTCACAGGTTTGTAAATAAATCGTGCGTATCACAATTAAAAAGTACGATATGCACTATCAATCACTTCAGAAAACTTCTATAGCAAATACAGATTAAACTGTCACATGTTACTGGTCTTTAAAAAATTTTACCTGCAAAATAAAGCTGTTAAGCTTGTTGACATATCTGAAGGAACTTTTAGCTTTAAAGTTCTTTGATTCTATTAAATTTTAAAAACTGAATTGTCAGGGTATAATACTGACATATAAGATTACAATTTGGAGAATAGGAGACAACGAAAAGGAGAAAGGTGGGCCATTCAAAAACAAACTACTTTTTTCTAGGTTTGCATTAGATCTGAAAAACTTTATTGTTAATGCAAATTTTATAACTTGGGCAAAATTTTTTCCCTATATAAATCATTCAAATTTGCTTTAATTTAAAAAGGAAAGACTATTTAAACTATCTAAACATAGCTAAGAAGTTATTAAAGTAATTTGTTTCAAGAAAAAAATTAATGCAGTCTGACACCTATTACCCTTTCCAAAGGTATATTTAGAGCCAGGTCCAGAGGTATATTTTGGGCAACTCTAGCAAAGCTGAGGCAGCAAGAGACAAAATATCGATCATGACTAGGAGAACTCTTATTCAGAAATCTGCTCTTCAGTTGTATCTATTGTTAATGTGTTGGTGAGAATATGGAGAAATTAGAACTCTCATACACTGTTGTAGGAATATAAGATGGTGAGGGTGCTTGGGAAAGAAGTCTAGCAGTTCTTCAAAAGGTTAAACATAGAGCTACCATATGACCCAGCAATTACACTCATAAACAAATATCCAAGAGAAATGAAAACATATGTCCACACAAAAACTTATATATGAGTGTTCACAGCAGCCTTATTCATAACATTCAAAAAGTAGAAAAATCCAAATATCTTTCCATTGATTAACAGATAAGTAAAACATGGTATATTCATACAATGTAATATTATTTGGCCATAAAAATGAAGTACTGATGCATGCAAGAACATGGATGAATCCTGAAAACAACATACTAAGTAAAAGACGCCAGACACAAAAGACCACCTATTGTGTAATTCCATTTATATGAAAGTTCCAGAATAGGCAAATGCATTGGGACAAAAGTAAATTAGAGGTTGCCCAAGGCTGGGGAAAGGAGAAAATGTGGTGGAAGACAGGGGATTAAATGAGTATGGGGCTTCTTTTAAGAGTGATGAAAGGGGCTTCCCTGGTGGCGCAGTGGTTGAGTCTGCTTGCCGATGCAAGGGACATGGGTTCGTGCCCCGGTCCGGGAAGATCCCACATCCTGCGGGGCGGCTGGGCCCGTGAGCCATGGCTGCTGAGCCCGCGTCTGGAGCCTGTGCTCCGCAACGGGAGAGGCCACAACAGTGAGAGGCCCGCGTATCGCAAAAAAAAAAAAAAAAAAAAAAAGTGATGAAAATGTTCTAAAATTAGTGAACTTTGTAAATCTAATAAAAAGCACTGAATTATACACTTTATATGAGTGAATTGTATGGTAAGCAAATTATATCACAGTAAAGATATTTTATTAAAACAATGATAAATAGGATACAGAACTTCCAAACCACTAAAAAGGGAGGGGGGCAAAAAACCCAAGTCAATAGAATAAGGTAAACAAGACGGGAAAAGAGGTAAAAGAACGCACAAAATAAGATGGTAGAAAATAAGTCCAAATACACCAAAGAATCAAAGCAAACATAAAGTTAACTCATTTATTAAAAATGAGACAATCAGATTGTTTGGAAGAAGGGAGGGAAGGAGGAAAGGAGAGTGGGAGAGAAAAAAAGAAAACCAGCTATATATAAGTGTCTCTATATATTTTAAGAGACACTTAAAATTAAACAACAAAGAAACCTTGAAAATAAAGATATGGAAAAAGATATGCGAGGCGTATATTTATCAAAAGAAATCAGGTGTATCACTGTCATAAAAAAATAGACTTCAAAGTAAAAAGCTTTAAAAGAAACACAGATATATATTCCATACACATAAAAAGTGCATCCGGGCTTCCCTGGTGGCGCAGTGGTTGAGAGTCTGCCTGCCGATGCAGGGGACACTGGTTCGTGCCCCAGTCTGGGAAGATCCCACATGCCGCGGAGCGGCTGGGCCTGTGAGCCATGGCCGCTGAGCCTGCGCGTTCAGAGCCTGTGCTCTGCAACGGGAGAGGCCACAACAGAGAGAGGCCCGCGTACCACGAAAAAAAAAAAAAAGTGCATCCACCAACAAGATATAGCAC